ACTTTTAATCCAGGTTACAATAATCCACACTTTTAATCCAGGTTACACTTTTCCCTCAATGACACATTTTACAAAGTAGCTACATATTGTGCAGGTATAAAGACACATTTGTATATATTTTTGTGTACGTTTATTTTTTTAAGCTATTTGACTAACTTTTATTTTTTATTATTCAATATTTTACTAACAGAATAGTAAAATAGCAACCTGTTTTTTGTGTGAATTGCTATGTCAGTCAAATGTTCAATTTTGGAATAAAGGGGTGGAAATTAAAACGTTGTGGGGTTTTTTGCCGATTCATCGATTAATCGAAAAAATAATCGGCAGATGAATCGATTATTGAAATAATCGTTAGTTGCAGCCCTAATTGGGCCTGTTACAATAAACAAATCAATTAATCGCATGATAAATGAAAATTATCAACCTTATTTTCAATTATCGGCTTTATTGTTTCTTCGTGTCTCTCTCTTTCTACTGAAGACACTGGATGACAAAAGGCTCAACTCTGGTGCTCTTCCCTGACCCCTCCCTTTCTCTTTTCTCTTTAAAATCTGTTTTAACCATCCAAAATCACATTTTTGGATCATTAAAAGCAGCTAAGCAGAAAAGCTATGCTACAAGCTAAGCGAACAGGCCGACCTCGGGAAAAAACCTCCGTCTTGTCGAAGCTCCACAATTCACAGTTGAAATGTGTGCCTTCATGTAAAAAGTTGTTTTTCTCTGCAAAAAGAAGCTGAGAACTTGTTTACTGATTTTTGTCATTAAAAGCTTTGTGTGAAAAATGCTATGCTAAAGAGCTCAAACCACACCAAGCGTCAGCCATTTTGAGAACCAAAAAACAGGAAGGAGAGACAGCCCATGTCACGTCAAGGGCCCTTCCTCCCATTTTTCTTAAAGAGACACGCTGCTCGCTCCCTCACTATCCAGCCTTTGGTTCAGTTTTATACTGGCATCCGCTGGTCAAGAAACGGTACTACACACGAAAATTAACCAACATTTCTTCTTAAATTTGACAATAATTACTAATTATTGTCAAATTTCAAACAATATTATCTTTCATCACAATAATTTCTGAGACAATTAATCGCCCAGCAAAATTTGTTATTGTGACAGGTCTAGGTGTAATACTGTGGGGAATATTGTGTTGATTAAAACATAAAGTGAAATGTGGAGTTTTTTTTTTTTTTTTGTAAGACCCTTAAAAGGTTAAAAAAAACAAATTTATATTTAAAATTTTATATTTCAGTTCAGGCTGAGATAGCTCTAAAAGACAGTTTTTTTGTGGGGGGAAAAAAATACTTTTAAAATTATATTTTAAGTGGTTAAATAAGGAGCAGTAACTGTCATAAAGTTAAATGGACTTCCACCAGTTAAACAGAAGTATTTGGTTATTTGAGAGTCCAAATAGCAGCAGCAGCTAACTATAACATTTCCAGGACATTCAAGGGCCACTTCTGGTAGAAATGCAACATTTCCCAGCAAAATATTCATGAAAAGTGACATTGCATTTGTGCGTCTGAACGGACTCGTATCAAAAGCAGATTTTGTCATCTTAAAACCACTTCAATCACCAACATTTTATTATAAACACAACTTTATTTTAAAACACTGTATGATAAACTTTATACCACTTTAGATTTTACATTTCTCTGTGATTTTAGCAGAAAAATTCTGAAATTTTGGGCAGAATTTACCTCAGACTGCAATGACAGAGAAACAGCTAGCTAAATTTCAGAGGTGATTAAATCGGAAATGAAAGCCACCCTCACAGAGGATCTCACTTCAAGCAGTGAGAGCAGAGGTGGCTTTCCATGGCATTCAGAGCAGAAATGGAGCAGGTGAAACTGAGTGTTAAATATGTTGAAGATGAATTTTCCACCTGGTTGGATGAGGTTGAGGCTCTGCGCAGCATCGTGACGGAACTGAAAGACGAGATAAATGGGCTGGAAAAGAAATATGAGGATGTGGAGGGACGCATGAGAAGGCACAACATGAGGATCCTAGATGTCTCAGAGATGCCAGAATCAAGCTCCATCACAGTGATTGCTAATCTGCTCACGGAGATCCTGCAGCTGAACAAGATGCCACTGATCGACTGCTTATACTGGACACCAAGCGGGAAGATGTCAGGTGATAAGCCGAGAGTTATTATAGATAAAAAAAACTCTTACTACCAAGACTGCGTGGCAATATTACAGCGTGCACGCAATCATGGCTCATTACACTTCAAGGAATCCTTGATCATCATTACAGCGGATTACGCTGCAAGCATGGCCGAGGCTTGGGCAACGTTCACAGAGGTGAAGAGGCTTCTTTCCAGCCGGCGAGATGTTCGATATGGGCTACTTTTTCCTGCATGGCTTCGCATCACTCACAGTGAGGTGGACAAGGAGTTTGTAGAACCATAAAAAGCCATGGTCTATGTCAAAAATAATATCTTCTCAGCAACAGGTGGTGAGGACAGTAAAAGACTGTAGGGTTGGCTTCCCTCAGAGTTACTGTTTGTGACA